CGGGTCGCGGGGTGCCCTCCGGCGTGGCGGCGGGGGCAGAGGGGCAGGCGAAGCAGCGGTGGATCCCGGGCGACAGGAGGCGGCAGGGTCGGGGACGCTGCCCTCCGCCGCCGCTGACACAGTGACTGGTGGACACCGAGGTCCCCGGAGCGGCGGAGCCCCGGGGCCCAGCAGCCCGGGGGTGAGGGTCCGCTTCCAAGCCCGCCGGCGCCCGCCCGCTGCCCCGCCGAGGCGCTAGGAGGAGCCGAGGGGGGCGGAGACTGGTGTCGGAGGAGGGGCGGGGTGGGGACGCGCTGGAGGACCGGCCGCTGCACAGACAAAAAAGCCCCGAATGGCTGGAGAGCCTTCTGCTGTTACCAGCCTGGCGGGGCCAAGCACGGATTTGACAGCTCCACAGCGTGAGGATATCCGCTGACCCTGCGACACAGAGAACACTTCCCCGAGACTCCCTGTCCGGCTAGTCGGCTCTGTAAGCTTGCAACTTTCCAACTTTGTTTTTTTCTTTTCCCCAATCTCTGTCCAGAAGACTGCCCCTCCGTGTAGGAGAGGGTGCCAGGGCGATCCGCCTTGTGGATCGATTTGAAAGCATCAACTTAAAAGGCACGTGTGGTTCCCAATGCCACCCAGACGCTTGTTTTCCTGACGACTGGGTTTCTCTGACTTTATTCTTGACTGCTTTGGGGGAATGCTGAAAGGCAACTGAAGACTTCAGAAGAGAAGCTCCCGATTGTCATGGCTGAAGGAGAGAATGAAGTGAGATGGGATGGACTGTGCAGCAGAGATTCGGCTGTTAGAGAGACAGCGCTGGAAAACATTAGGCAGATCGTTTTGAGGAAAACCGAGTACCTTCGTTCAGTCAAAGAGCCGCTTTATCGACCTTCAGACGGCCTTTCGAATGCTGTTTCTTCGGATGGGATGAATAAGCTTCTTGCTCACCTCCTTATGCTTTCGAAGAGGTGTCCCTTTAAAGACGTGAGAGAGAGAAGTGAGTTCATTCTGAAGAGCGTCGAGGTAAGAGCATTGTTAGAACACCTAGACAGTGAGATTGGACTTGCAGTTATTCACATCGCTTTTGCTTCCAACGGGTAATGGGTTATTGTGTGAGCTCTTAATATGACTTCACCAGGCATTAGAGGGTTCGGCAAAGCATTGAACGTTGGGCCCCAACTGAGCAGTGTAAACTAAAAACGGTTTTCAAAAAGAGATAAACAAGCATTGTTTTTTATGGCGTTTTAGGCAGAAATGGTATTGCTGGTGGAAAATAATATCTATGGAAGGTATAGTTAATTATAAGTCAAGTCTTTGTATTCCTTTTTGTTGCCGAGTGTAGCCAGTGTATTTTCACAATGTTACAGTGTTCTGTGTGGGAAGTTTCTCATTGAAAGCCTCGAAAGGGAGAAATTGATATTAAATGTTTCCTATTTGTTCAAGGTAGCTGGCAGATGGTGGAATAATTTTCTCTGGCTCTTCACAACAAAGGCAGGATTTCATTTTCTAAATGCATCCTAAAGCAGAACTAGAAAATAATAATTTTAAAAAAAACAGCCTAAGTCATAAAAAAGTTAACGTGTTCAGGTTGAAAAGTTGGACCCCAAGTTAGGTGTGTGGTAGCTTGGCTCAGTACTCTCAGGAGGTTGAGGCAGAAATAATACTGCCAGGAGTTCAAAACCAGCCTGGCTATGTAATGAATACCAGGTCAGTACATGGCTACGTTGCAAGACCCTGCCTGAAAAAGGAAGAAAAGAAAGGTTGGACCCAGGTAAGGCATCTGATAGAAACAATTGCTGCTCAGTTAGTTCCTGGTGCCCTAAATTGTTTCTTTTGTCTTTCCCATGCAAACTACTTAAATTGTAAGTGCAGTTAAGGTCCAAGTACTATCGTTTCCTGCCATTTTCCTCTCCTGTCACCTTATCCTGTGTTATTAGAAGGTGTGTTAGAATTTGAAGGAGCAGGAGAAACATTTATAGATATGAAGAATGCTCAGTGTTTGCAGATTAGGATATATGACAGTTTTCTGTAGTGGCTTGAATTTAAATAAAGCAAAAGAAAAACAATCATATTGATAAAATGATGATCTTAAGAATCTAAGATCTTGAAATAATCTTTACAAACACTGTAGAGTCAATTACTATAATTCATTTTACCAGCAAAGAATTCATTGTCAATGTATGTATATTCCATCCCTCAGATGTAAGAGGCTGCTTCTCTTAGAGCTCTGGATAGCCCTATAGTTATGTTTTAATAATGGAATCATAATTGTGCACACCAAATACTGATATGCACTGTATGGAACTACATGACCCATTCGTTTCTAAGTTTTCATTAGTATTTAGGGGTTTGCCCCTTCTTGTTAGTCTACTTCACTTTGGGGTCTTTTTGGCCTTTGATCTTGCTGCTTATTGGAGTGGGAAACTAGGCAATGACTTTTGTTAAGAGTTACGTTGAAATAAAAGTACTCAGACTCTGGGAGTGCCGTGTCCAAGGACTGCAGCGTAAGTGGTAAGTCAGTGCACTAGAGTCAGACCTAGGTCAGGTGCTTCCTTATTAATGTGCTGCCGTAACCTTGGGCAAGTCCCTTGACTTTCCTTGTGTTCGATTTTCACATCTATAAAATCAGGATAAGAACACAGCTTGCGGGAATGGAATGGCGTGCAGAGTGCTGTCATATCCAGGGAAGGCACCTCTCCCCTTTCACAAGTGCAATAGATGGACTATATAAAATGGTTTTCGAGCTTAATTTGTCCTGCAAAAGGATTCAGTGTTCTGTACTCTAGTGGCTTCCTACAGACTTACATTTCTTTCTCTGTTTTAAATCTATTATACTTTATTGCTGCCATTATTATAAGAGGAACTTGATTTATATTGTTCTGTAATCTCATGTTGATATGAATGTCTTCACCAGAAGAGCTCTAAGTTCTCAAGAGTATTGGCTGGGACCTGGGAGCTACTAAATAAATATACAATAGATAAATAAATGTATTTGCCTTCTTTCTGTCTCACATCAATTTGCATAGATGAAATTTCCATTTTATGGAGCATTCATTCATGCATGCATTTGAGCAAGAAATAGTGAATGCCATAGTAAGATCTAGAGACTAGTGGTAACAGTTTGCATATTCTGCTGAAGGGAGACAGGTCATAAAAAAGTAAATGAACATTTAATTTTATGTAGTAAGGGGAGAGTTCCTTGAGGCAAACCCCTCAAAGACAGATTTAGTATTCATTCATTCATTCTTCATTCATTTTGAGACAGGGCTTCCTGCCTCAGTCTGCCAGGTACTAGTATTGTGGACATACACCAGTGCATTTTTCTTATGAATAATTATCCATAAAGTGAGATTATTGTAGGAATCCAGACGTAGAAAATAGTTTCTATGAAGGCCTTGTGGCAAGAGCAAGTAACTGAGTTCTAAGACTTGAATGTGATTCAGGATGGTTGAAGTTCTCATTTTGAGAAGTTAGATAGACATAGCTTCAATACTTATTAATAATATTACTTATCTGTCCAACTATGAATAAGTTCCATACTGCTGTTCAACTCAGTTTTCTTATCTGCAAAGTGGGGATGATGCTAATAGTTCTTTATTCACAGTGCTGCTGTAAGAATAAAATGAACTAATGCCTGCAAAGCATGGATGATGTAACAGTCGAGGTTGTTATTGTTACCAGGCAGGATCTAGATCTCAGGAGAATTGTAGGCAATTGTAAGGAATGTAGACATCATCCCAGAACAATGGGAAGCCACTGCAGCTTTGAAGAAGATGGTAACATGATTGATAATGTTACAAGGAACATTCCAGAAGCAAGATGGAGAATGTGTTTCTAGGCTTAGGAGGGGATATGTCATATCAGTTGCAAGGTTGTTCTGTGGGAAAAAACAATAGTAGACTGGGATATGATAGAAGAGGAAAAAGGCACATGAATTTGAATGATAATGAGGAGTTAGAATCCACAGGATATGGTATTTAAATAGTTCAGGAAATGAAGAAAATAAAAGCAAAATCTGTGATTTGATTTACTTAGTGCATAATGTAACAAGACTGGCAAGGTCCATTTAGGAGAAGAGTTAGTTCTTTTTCATACATGCTGAGTGAGGGTAAGCTGTTTCTGAGGCATCCACAGGAGGTTGCTCCTCACTGGATTTGTGTCTCCTCTGCTGCGATTCTCTTCCACTTCTCCAGACTTAACCCACCCTTCAGCTTGCTGTCCACCTACATAGCCACAGAGCCCTTCATCTGCCCTGCAGAGCTGACCGCATTACTTCCCAGTCTACAGCCCATTATGGTAGAGCGTGGCCTTAACATGGCCCCTAGTGCCTAGCATCCTGTAACCTGCACTTCCCTCCCC